GGAAAACAAAAAAAAAAAAAACAGGGTAAATAAATAATATCATAAATTTTTTATACCTTCCATGACATACTAAAGCATATTCACGAGAGATTGTTTTAGGACTAACTGAATTATCACCTCTTGGTGCCAATCCCCAACCTATTAATTTTCAGATTCAAATTTTTATATAAAAAAAAAAATATAAATAAATAGAATTAATTACTTGATGATTTACCTCCTGGCCCAAATGCTTTATTCAAGATACGACGATACTTAATTTCTGGTAAATAAATTATACCATCTATGGCATTAAAAAAAAAATAATATAAAGCATAATGACGCAAAATTAATTTTTTTTAATTTTTCATTATGGAACATTTCTTTAATAAACTTTAAACATATTTTTTACCAGGTTTACATTCAATATCGTTTGGATCAATTGGAGCTAACAAGATATCATTAGCATCTTTTGTAAAAGGTTGAGATGACAAGCCATAGTATGATTTGGACCAATCCTGACCACCCTCAGCAACATCATTTGAAAGATCTTTGACTGGTCCTGTTAATTCTTCCGACTTTGCATCTTTATTATTATCCGATGAAAATTCTGGTAAAGATGGAAAAGATGTACCATCAGATTTATTATCAGTGGCATCTGAAAAGTGAGGAGGAATATCTTCATTATCTGGTTGAACAACTTCTGCTGTATATGGTTTATATTTAATGCTACTAGAACTTGAGAAACGATAAGTTACAATCGCAGCCTTTGAAATTTACGATAGCACATAAAAATACAGTAAATTTTAATTTTTGGAGAAAATAATAAATTTTCACGCGTACTTATTAATTTATTCTATATTAGGAAACTTACTTTTGTCGCATTATTACTACTATTATGTACATTGAAAAAAACTAGACGTCTTTTTTGTTGAAGCAAACTCGAAAGTACTGTTTGATAACGAAATTTTCTAATAAAGGTAGCCATTGTTTATTATTATTTTTAAAAAAATTTGTTTTTGGGAAGAAAGTTATTTTGTTACACGAATTGTTGAATGACGCGTTGTTTATAAATAAAAAA